CTTAACAAAACCTTGGATTTTGTATGTAAAAATGTATCAAAAATTGTGAAAAATGGCGTTTTTATCAATTCAACAAATTCGACTAGTTGCTGACAGCCCCAACCGTACTTAGAATGACGATTCATTTGAAAAATACAACGTCATGTATACTTTACCAACCCCAAACCCAAACCCAAACACAAAGATAAGTGAATTAATTTAAAAAAAAACTTTGTGACAGTTTAATAAAACTTTTGATGTATTTTTATAAATTTTTGAAGATTCTAAATAAATTCTAAGATGGAATAATGTAATAGAATGTTTACTTAATTAATCGAAATCTATTTTCAAATCAGTCAACTAATAGTTCTTTCATTTAATAGACTCCAATTAAGCATTATAAAGTTAATCCCCAATCTTCTTGATAAGAGATTTTCTCATCATAAAATAATTGTATTAATATTAAATTTATTTCAAAATTAATATAAGTTTATGTTTTTCATTTGTATAAACTAAATTTTCTATAAATAATGAAAATTTTTTAAGAAAAATTATTTTTATGATTAAAAATCAGGTTCTTAAGCAAAAGCATATTAATATAATCTTAATAATTGAATAATTTTTTTAATTTTCATGGATCCATAACAAGAACAAAATCAACCAAATGTAAAGAAAAATGAAGAGTAAACAAATAAAACAAACAATAAAGATATAAAAAAAGAAAAATAAAAACCTCCCTCAGATCTTCTAGAATAATTAATGAATTTTAAGATGCCGTTAAGAATGTAAACCGGTAAAGATGGTATAAACTTCGAGAATATGGCTAGAGAATTTAAATTAAAAGGGAATTTTTCAAAAGTCATAAAAGATGTTCTTATTTCATAGTAACAATGATTTATTATGATATTTATATAAATAAACCTATTTTATTTTCAAAAAGTACCTTAATACTAAATAAGTTAAAGTATCCAATGATAATAGATTTATAGCAGTTTCTGATAATTAAACAATTAATATAATTGAAATCTTTGAAAATAAATACTAAGAAGTTCCAGATCTAGGACAAAGTGTGTAGATTTTTGAGTTTAACTGGAATGATTCAAATATTTTATTTACAGTATCAGACAATTACATAATTAGAAAGTGTGACAAATCTAATGAAATTATTATGGAATATGCAAATTCTTATACAGAGACTAATTTTAGTTTAAATTTTTCTAAACAACTCAATTATTTAGTTTATTCATACTTTAATAGACCAATTACCTTAATTAATCTAAATGATAAAAAACACTATTAAATACCAATTTAAGGTTTGTATGGAATTGCAACTATTTCTATTAATGAAATTTTAGTTGCTATATCCACATCAGATTCTATGATTTATTTATGGAATCATGAAAAAGAAATTGTAAAGGAAAATAATTTGATTTATAAAAAAAAAATTATTAATTTAACATTTACAAATGATGATACTGAGTTAATTTGTTTTTAGGATTCAATAGGTGTATATTATATTTCAGAAGATCTTTAAATAAAATAAAAATATTTTTGGAAGATAGATAATTCTACAATTTATACTTTCTGTCCTAAGCATTTATCAATTTTCAAAGTAGTTCATGATCAAAATGCATATATTGAATTTATGAATCATGGATCAACTACAATTTTATTTGATGAAAAACATACACCAATTAATTTTCACAGTACTTACAATGGAAATTATATTGTTTCAATAGATTATTAAGGCTTAGTCATATGGGACTTAAAGAATAATTCATAACTTTTAAATAATTCTTAATTGTGTGGAAACAAAGTTATGCTTATACAACTAAAGACTTTAATAACAGGTAGTGAGAAAGAAATCAAGATTTTAGATATAACAAACCAAGAGAATATTTAAGAAATATAAACAATTTTATTTGATTAACCTATAAAAAGTATGTAATTTTCTTCGACTTAAGAATATTTTGTTTGTGGATTTGATAATTCAATAAAAGTATGGAGAATTAGAAATGATAGATAATGCTAATAAGTGGCTATATCAGCTAATGGTCAGTTTGTAATTTACAAATCAGAGGAATCTTTACAATTAACTAATATAAGGCAAAAACATGCAAAGGAGTTAATTTTTAAGTCTGTTAGTGGACTTATATATTCATCAGATTTCTAAAATTTGATAACTTTAATAAATGGAACTCCTAAATTATTTACTTCAACTTTAGAACCGATAGAAACTTAATTAGATAGCTAATTCTAAGATATTGAAGGATAATATATAAAATCGGCTTCTATAGATTCAATATTTGTAATATCTTCTGATTTTAACATATTTATAGTCAAAATTCTAGATAAAACTAATTTAACTTTGATCAGGAAAATTCCTATTGAAGAATAGTTCTATATGGTTTCTTTAGATATTAATCCTTTAGGAACTCTATTAATAGCTGGTAATTATTTGGGATCAATTTATCTATGGGATTTGTCACCATCTTCTACTATAATGAATAACTCTAAAAATAATTTAATTATAGAAAATTAAAATGATTAAATTTATGATTTTACATTTAGTCCTAATGGAACTGATTTTTCAGCAGCAGTTTATGATGGATCTTTAATTTAATATTCCATTGATTTAATTCACAAGACTTAAAATATCAAATAAAATGATGGAAATTAAGAAAATAGTTAGGTTTAAGTAATAGATCATATAAATAAATAATTCCGATTGATTTGTTATAAATCATTTACCAGATAATCTCTAATATTAGCCAATAAATGCATAGTAAAAAAAGCATAAATCAACTAAAATAAATAGTCAATTTATCAACTATTCACATAAAAAGGAGCTATTGAAGATATCGAATGATATAAATAAATGATAGATTTATTAATAAAATATATTACAGTTATGAAATAGATTATTTAAATAAATTTATATATATAATCTATATAAACAAACATCATAATACTACTGATAATAATCTATCTTTTAATTAATATAATCAATTTAGTAATTAATTTTAATTCATAATTTATCTTCTTCTTGGGGAGAGTTTATTTTATTGAAGAGAT